CCGCCGCTAACGACGTGCAGGCGGTCGGCGGCGGCGCCGCCGCCGGTCGCGGTGCAGCTGCTGCGCAGTCTCAGGGCGGCGCCGCTGTCGCGGCGAACCGTGTGGATGCGGTTGCCGGCAATGGGCCCGCGACTGGCCAGGGCTCTGCTGGTGAGCAAGATTGCGGGATTTAGGGAGCGTATTGGATGTAATGGTGGCGTCAGACGCGTTGACAAGCGGGTGCCCTGAGAGTTCTCTTATCCATTGCTACTCACCCCGCCCTCCTGGCTTGCACAATGAGCGTGCTTGACCCGAGCGTACCGGCCAGGCTTGCAGCTTTATAACCCGCACGCTCCACACCACTCCCTCACCTTGTTTGTGCAGACGCCAACTCAGTCGGTGGCCCCGCAGCTGCTGAGTCAGTGGTCAACGCCGCCTCTGCCAACGGCCCCGCCGCCGCCGACTCGCGCGCCCGCGCCAACTCGGTCAACGGCGGCCCTGCCGTGGCCCACGCCTCCTCTTCATCCTCTTCCGGCGGCGCCGGGCCCTGCGCCGGCTTCCCCAACCCCTGCGCCGGCTACGGCGGCGCCGGCGCCTCAGCGAATGCTGCTGCCAAGGCGCAGTCGGCTGGCAAGTAATTGACACTGGTCAGCAGCAACGCCGCATGTGTCCATTGTGGTGTGATGCTTGCAACATCGCCGCACGTTGCCTTCTGCGTGAAGCCTGGGTCCTGTGACCCAAGCCAGCGAGGCTCCGCTGTTTTCTGCTCGCTGCAACGTGTGCTGCTGCGTCTGCGCAGCGGGCACGGCCGCAACGCAGGCGCAGGTTTGTCTAGGACGGAGCTGTTGGTCAGGTGTTGGCCTCCCCACAAGTCTCTATGAGCATGGGATGGGAGGGTGAGAGGTGTGTGCACGTGTACCTCTTCCCCCTCCCCCCCAACGAACAGTGGCGAGCGGCCCTGCGCACAGAGCCTTGGCTGGCGCACTATGATTAGTTCAGGATTGCTGCTCTCAGGAAATAATCACTTCGCTTCCCCCCAGCTGCAAACGCTGGCGCAGTGCGGCCGACCGCGGGTTGGGTGAAGGCAGGCGCTGCAAAGCGGCCTGCCATTGCCACTGCATCACTGCGGTTTTCGCACCAGACACTGTGAGTGTTGTCTATTGTAAAAGCTTCGATCCTGAAACTGGGACGGTGAACCGAGGCAGCGTTGACATGTGCTACTGAGAAGGGGGAAGGGCAAGCATGCGCAGCCTTGGCCGCTGGTGCACAGCTGGAAAAGCGCGAAAATCTTGTGACAAGTACTTGGCAAACACAAGTAATTTCTGCGGGGTTGGCTGCAGCACTCCCCACCGTGCAAGCAACCTGTGGGCGCTTAAATGCGGTGCGCCATCCCTGCATCTCATGTATGAACCATCGCTCGCACCTGCGCGGTTCGCAACCCCCCGTCCCCCCAATCCTTGTGAATGTTTGGCGCCAGACGTTCAGAAGCGGCAAACCCAGGCGACAGGGATAGAGCAGAATGCAGCACGCATGTCACCTTCGGGGCTCTGCATGCGGGTTGCCCCCTGCCACCATTATCTCCTCCTTGCCATGACCACGTTCAGCACCCGCGCACCAGCGGCCACAACTGAGTGCATGTCACCATCACCACTAGCCATGCGCGTAGCAAGGTGCTGCCCAACCACATGTGTCAGCGTGACGAGGTGATGTTTCGCATGAAGCACACATGAGGATGCAGTGCCGCCTGCTGCCAGTAGCCCCCACTTGGATCATGGGAGTCGGAGGGGACGCCTGACGGCCCTGTTGCCTGCCCTCGCGGGGGCTAATCCCTGTCACTGCTCGTGCATGGGTGCGATAAATCCAATCAAGTGCGTAATTGAGTGTCTTGGCCGCCGCTGCAGACCGCAGCTGGGCTTATGTAGCGCCGCTGCGCAAACCCGTCGCATGGGCGGACGACGCAGCTCAGCTGACCTTGCTCGCCCGCGTCTGTCGGAAGCCCGTCAACACATGTACACGACGGCTTGCGGGCGCTCGACAACGTATCTTTACTTTGCACCCTGCTTGCCAAGAACGCGGCGATCCGCCGGAGAGCACTTTCCTTGACTTTCGGCATGGGCACCCGTCGGCTCTCTCGTTTTGTGTCAGCTCCGTGCTCGGCCTACCCCTCCTCCACTACCGTACATGACAATAATTGCCGTTCACCCGGACGTTCAGACACAACAACACACAAGTTTGCACTGTCGCGGCTGGTGTGCCCTTGCCCGCGACGTTCGCCACGCCGGGCGCCCCTAAGCATACCCACTAGCGGGACGGCGAGGTCTTTTTGAATGCCAATGGACGCGGCGAGCAGCTAGCTCACCCTGATGGCCAGCCCAATGCCTGCGAGCAGGGCCCGGGGCGCGGCCTTTCTCGCCCTTGTGTTATGCATGGTGAGTTTTCTTCCGCCTCCGTCCTCTTGCGGCCGTACCGCGGCGCGGGATGATGCACGCAGTGATGAGCGGCCCTCACTGCCAAGGTTCAACGTCCACGGGTGCTCGCCATGTCCTGCCTGCAGGGTTGTATCCGTCTGATACATTGCCGGCGCCTAGAGGCGGGTGGCGGTTCTGACGGCGTGCTCAGGTGCGCGAGCGGGAAATCCGCCAGAGCCGCGGCGCGCCTGCGGCACGTGTGTCTCGCGCCTGTTTGGGGTGGGCATGCCGACCCGACCCAGCAGCGCAGCTGCTTAATGTTACAGCTGCTCACATTGGTCAGCTGATGCACCTGCACCCACCTCAGCGATCTCGCTCACTCCTCGCCCCCTCCCCCGTCCGGCTGCTGCTTTCAACTGCCCGCCTCTGCAGCCGCCCAGCGGCGCGGCGCCTGACCGTTGCGACGGAGCTCGTCCAACAGTGCAGCTGGGATTCTGGCAGCACATGCACGCTGGGCACAGAGTACACAACGCGCACATTGTCCGCCGCCAAGTCAGACCCCGTGGCTCAGTTCGTGTCGCAGTCCCTGTCGTGCGCGCGCATCACTGGCGCTGCGGCGTGCGCCGCTGACCCCGCGTGCGCATGGGACACGTCGTTCGCAGACGGCCAGGAGGGCTGCTTCATTTCAGAGGCGTCGCTGCTGTCCGCCCAGCAGCTGTGCGTGCAGCCGCGCTACGCCCGTGCGCTCGGCGCGCTGCAGTCCTGCCTCGCGGGCCGCAGGTCCTGCCAGTGCCCCGACGGCGCGAGCTGCACGGCCGCCACAGGTGCCGGCGGCTGCCAGCCGCTGCTCGGCTGCTGGCTGGCCAAGCTGCAGAAGTCACCGTTTGACGTCATCCAGCTGGCGCAGGTTCAGATGCTGCGAGTCGGCCCGCTGCTGGCGACGCTTGCGGTCAACTCGACGGCGACCGGCCTGACGGCGTCGCCGCCGCAGGCGGCCGGCGCGGCGACGCCCGCCAACGGCCGGCGCCGCCTGATGCAGCCATTGGGCCTGAACCAGCCCGTGTTTGACGACCCAACCAACGCCAAGAAGAAGGCCGCCGGCCTCGCCGCGGCGCCGGCGCCGGCGCCGGCGGCCGCGCCCGCCAACCCCCAGGCGCAGCTGCAGGAGGGCGGCCAGAACAAGCCGATCCTGTCGGACACGGCGGCCATGAACGGCGGCGGCGGCGGCGGTGGCGGCGGCGCCCCTGGCGACGTGGGGAACCTAGAGGCCGGCTCCCTCTTGGATGCGGGGATCATCCAGGTCGACAATAGCGCCTCGGCGGCGACCCCAAGCGCCCCCGCCGCCGGCGACGACGCCAGCGCCGGCGACGGCGACGCGCTGGCCATGACGTACGCGCCGCCGTCGTTTTGGAAGTGCCTGGAGGACGCGGCGGTGACGGCGGACACCACGCGCAACTGGGCGGGTATAGAGTACAACGTCAAGAAGCTGACCCTGGAGACGTGGCTGAAGGTCATCACAAAGCTGGTGGGCCTTTTTTCTGTTGGGGGGAGGGGGCCCTTGCGAGGAAGGGTGCGTACGGGGAGTTGTTTGGGTCTAGGCGGGGGAGAGCGCGTTTGGGGCAGGGGCCGCTCAAAGGGGTGATGGGGG